CCTTGCCGTACGCCTTTCCCAATCTTGAACCAGTCTGTTGTTCCGTGGTCAGTTCTGACTGTTGCTACTTGGTCCTTGTACAGATTCCTCAGGAGAGAGACAAGGTGGCTTGGATGCCCATCCCACTAAGAACTTGCCACAATTTATTATGATCCACACAGTCAAAGGCTTTAGAATAGTCAATGAAGCAGAAGTAGATGTTTTTCTGAAACTCCCTGCCTTTCTCCATTATCCAGCGGATATTGGCAATCTGGTCTCTCGTTCCTCTGCCTTTTCTGAACCCAGCTTGAACATCTGGCAACTCTCGCTCCATGTATTGCTGGAGTCTTCCTTGCAGGATCTTGAGCATTACCTTACTGGCATGAGAAATAAGGGCCACTGTACGGAAGTTTGAGCAGTCTTTCGCATTTCCCTTTTTTGGTATGGGGATATACGTTGATTTTTTCCAGTCTGATGGCCATTCTTGTGTTTTCCATATTTGCTGGCAAATGGCATGCATCACCTTGACAGCATCATCTTTTAAGATTTTAAACAGTTCAGCTGGGATCCCGTCGTCTCCTGCTGCCTTGTTGTTAGCAATGCTTCTTAAGGCCCATTCAACCTCACTCCTCAGGATGTCTGGTTCTAATTCATTCACCACAACGTCAAAACTATCCTCAATATTATTATCCTTCCTATACAGATCTTCTGTATAGTCTCGCCACCTTCTCTTGATCTCTTCAGCTTCTGTTAGGTCCCTTCCATCTTTGTTTCTTATCATACCAATTTTTGCCTGAAATTTACCTCCAATGTTTCTAATTTTCTGGAAGAGGTCTCTTGTCCTTCCTATTCTGTTGTCTTCTTCCACTTCCATGCATTGCTTATTTAAAAATAGTTCCTTATCTCTTCTGGCTAACCTCTGGAATTGCGCATTTAACTGGGCATATCTCCCCTTATCCTGTTTCCTTTTGCTTTCCTCCTTTCTTGGGCTACTTCCAGTGTCTCAGCAGACAACCATTTTGCCTTCTTGGTTTTCTTTTTCTTTGGGACGTACTTTGTTGCCGCCTCCTGAACAATGTTTCGGACTTCTGTCCATAGTTCTTCTGGGACTCTGTTTACTAAATCTAGTCCTTCAAATCTGTTCTTCACTTCCACTGTATATTCGCTAGGGATGTTAGTGAGGTCATATCTAACTGGTCTGTGTATTTTCCCTGATCTCTTTAGTTTTATTCTAAATTGAGCAATAAGAAGTTCGTGATCTGAGCTACAGTCAGCCCCAGGTCTTGTTTTCACCGACTGGATGGATGTCCACCACCTTTGGCTGCAAAGGATGTAGTCAATCTGATTTCGGTGTTGACCATCTGGTGAGGTCCATGTATAAAGCCGTCTTTTAGGTTGTTGGAAGAGAGTATTCGTTATACACAGCGAGTTTTCCTGGCAAAATTCTATCAGCCTGCGTCCCGCTTCATTTTGTTCTCCCAGACAATGCTTGCCTGTGATCCCAGTTGTCATTTGACTTCCCACCTTGGCATTCCAGTCTCCTGTAATGAAAATAATGTCTCTTTTTGGTGTATTATCCAGTAGTTCCTGCAGATCCTCATAGAACTGATCTACTTCTGCTTCTTCAGCATCTGTGGTTGGGGCGTATATTTGGATCACTGTAATGTTGAAAGGCTTTCCTTGCACTCGAATTGAGATCATTCTGTCATTTTTTGGGTTGTATCCAAGCACCGCTTTAGCGAATTTCTTATTAATTATGAAGGCTACTCCATTTCTTCGATGTTCCTCTTGTCCGCAGTAGTAGATCTGGTGGCCATCTGATGTGAAGTGGCCCATTCCAGTCCATTTCAGTTCGCTGACCCCCAGAATGTCTATCTTTAGTCTTGACATCTCACCCATAACAACATCCAATTTGCCCTGGCTCATAGATCTTACATTCCAGTTTCCTATGGTGTGTTGATCTTTAGAGCATCGGATTCGTCGTTCACCTCCAGTACCGTCGGCCGCTAGCCTTCCTTTCGGCTTTGAGCTAGCTGCGTCATCACATCTGGGGCTAGTTGAACTTATCCTCTGCTCCTCCCCAGTAGCATTTTGGCCATCTTCCGACCTGGGAGTCCCATCTTCCAATGGCATACCGACATATCTCTGTTTGTACTGGTCCATTTAGTTTTCTTGGCAAGGATACTGGAGTGGTTTGCCATTGCCTTCCCCAGGGATCACGCTTGGTCTGACCTCTCTGCCACAACCGTCCCGTCTTGGGTGGCCCTTCACGGTTTCGCTCATGACATCATTGAGGTGCTCAAGCTCCAGCGCCCCGACAAGGCGGTGATCCTTTGCTGAAGGATATTGTTTCTAGCACCCACTTTTTGCTTGATGTTCAGGCAGTGCTTCTTGTAGGTAAGGGCATGGTCCAGAGTGACTCCCAGGTTATTTTATTTGTCGTGTCGGAGCAACCAGTCCATTATATTACATTTCTAACAGAACAAAGCAAACAAACAGACAAAATACAAAACTTGTGAGTTTGGTAGTTGGTTAAATGTCCTTTGACCAGTATCTGGCCCCTTGGAGTGCCTCTGGTGTTGCTGCAAGAAGGTCCTCCATTGTGCATGTGGCAGGGCTCAGGTTGCATTGCAGCAGTGGTCAGTGGTTTGCTCTTCTCCACACTCGCATGTCGTGGATTCCACTTTGTAGCCCCATTTCTTAAGGTTGGCTCTGCATCTCGTGGTGCCAGAGCGCAGTCTGTTCAGCGCCTTCCAACTCGCCCAGTTTTCTGTGTGCCCAGGGGGGAGTCTCTCTCAGCCATTGGTTGAGGTTCTGGGTTTGAGCCTGCCACTTTTGGACTCTCGCTTGCTGAGGTGTTCCAGTGAGTGTCTCTGTAGATCTTAGAAAACTATTTCTAGATTTAAGTCGTTGACGTGCTGGCTGATACCCAAACAAGGGATGAGCTGGAGATGTCTCTGCCTTGGTCCTTTCACTATTGGCTGCTACTTCCCGGCGGATGTCAGGTGGTGCAATACCGGCTAAGCAGTGTAATTTCTCCAGTGGTGTAGGGCGCAGACACCCCGTGATAATGCGGCATGTCTCATTAAGAGCCACATCCATTGTTTTAGCATGGTGAGATGTGTTCCACACTGGGCATCAGGGCCGTAGCCAGAAAAAAAATTCAGGAGGGGTTGACATTTTCCGGGGGGGGGGGGGGGGGGGTTGAAAATTTCATGGGGGGGGGTTGAAACCTGCCTCCTAGCTCACACTGAAGCAAAGAGCACAGCAGGGGGCAGAGCAGCCTTCAATAGCCTGCAGCTCCGCCCCTGTCAACCACCTCCACCAAGTCTGGCCTCCTTAATGAGAGCATTCAACACACACACACACACCCAACTTGGTTGCTTCACTACATCGGCTATTGCTGCAAATAATGACAGTGTGAATAAATTGCTTGAGATATTTGCCTGAGATAGTGCTTGCAGTTCTGGAGGAACTCTTAATTTTTTGCATCTCATAGACTTAGCATGGGGATTTGGTTAACCAGTTAAATTCATGAGTAAACCAGTTTTTTTAAAAAAAAATCTGAAACATTTCGGGGGGGGGGGTTGAACCCCTAAAACCGCATGCATACTCAGCAGCAGAGTAGCACAGCACAAGGGCAGATGTCTTCACTGTGTCTGGTTGTGATCCCCAGGTTGTGCCAGTCAGCTTTCGTATGAAATTGTTTCTAGTGCCCACTTTTTGCTTGATGTTCAGGCAGTGCTTCTTGTAGGTCAGAGCACGGTCCAGAGTCACTCCCAGGTATTTGGGTGGGAATTTTTTTTTTCGTGTCAGGAGTGAGTGCAAGTCACTCCTGGTGTGAGGGAATTGCAAGGACGTTGCCCAGGGGACGCCTGGATGATTTGATGTTTTTATCATCCTTGTGGGTGGCTTCTCTTATGTGCCCGCATGAGGAGCTGGAGCTGATAGAGGGAGCTCATCCGTGAGTGCAAGTCGCTCCTGGTGTGAGAGAATTGCCCGTCTGCAAGGACATTGCCCAGGGGCCGCCTGGATGATTTGATGTTTTTATCATCCTTGTGGGAGGTTTCTCTCATGTCCCCGCTTGAGGAGCTGGAGCTGATAGAGGGAGCTCATCCGTGAATGCAAGTCGCTCCTGGTGTGAGACAATTGGCCGTCTGCAAGGACGTTGCCCAGGGGACGCCCGGATGATTTGATGTTTTTATCACCCTTGTGGGATGCTTCTCTCATGTCCCAGCTTGAGGAGCTGGAGCTGATAGAGGGAGCTCATCCGTGAGTGCAAGTCGCTCCTGGTGTGAGAGAATTGGCCGTCTGCAAGGATGTTGCCCAGGGGACGCCCAGATGATTTGATGTTTTTATCATCCTTGTGGGATGCTTCTCTCATGTCCCCGCTTGAGGAGCTGGAGCTGATAGAGCAGTGGTTCTCAACCTGGGGTCCCCAGATGTTTTTGGCCTACAACTCCCAAAAATCCCAGCTAGTTTACCAGCTGTTAGGATTTCTGGGAGTTGAAGGCCAAAAACATCTGGGGACCCCAGGTTGAGAACCACTGTGATAGAGGGAGCTCATCCGTGAGTGCAAGTCGCTCCTGGTGTGAGAGAATTGCCCGTCTGCAAGGACGTTGCCCAGGGGACGCCTGGATGATTTGATGTTTTTATCGTCCTTGTGGGAGGCTTCTCTCATGTCCCCGCATGAGGAGCTGGAGCTGATAGAGGGAGCTCATCTGCCTCTCCCCGGATTCGAACCTGCGATCTGTCGGTCTTCAGTCCTGCCGGCACAGTGCTTTAACCCACTGCGCCACCGGGGGCGCCTGGGTGGGAATGAAAGCGTAGAAAAACATGGCGACTTTCTCAGACTGTCGGGAGTTGTAGTCCCAAATGGCTTTCCTGGCGGGCAGCTTGTCACTGGCCTACAAGTCCCGCGAGGCTTCGCGCGGAGAAATCCTGACAACATGGCGGCCTTTCCTCGCCTTGCCGGGAGTTGTAGTCCTGCTTCTTGAGGTGTCAGCTTCTGAGGAACAGCGGCCAGGCGGGAAGGAAACTACACTTCCCGACAGGCTGCGTTTCCGGCGGAGGGAAAAAGCGGAGAGGGAGGGGAAGCAGGAGGAGGAGAAGAAGAAAGCGACAACATGGCGGCGTCGTCGTCCATTCCTCGGGAGCGGGAGCTGTGAGGAGCAGCGGAGCCCCGGATGTGACTGCGGCCAGGGCCTGCTTTGGGGAAGGAGCGGCCCTCAGCCGCCGCCGCGTCAGCCATGGGCGTGCAGGGCTTCCAGGAGTTCGTGGAGAAGCGCTGCCCGGGGGCTGTGGTCCCCGTGGACCTCTTGAAGCTGGCCCGGGCCCGCGGCGGAGTGGGGGCAGGCGGAGGCCCCGCGGCCTACTGCGCCCACTTCCACGCGCCGCCGCCGCCTGGGGCCTTCCCGCACCCGATGGCAGCCGGGCCGGGGCCCTTCCCGCCCGCGCCGCCGCCCTCCCCGTGCCCGGCCCGGCTGCTGGTGGACGCCGACTCCGCCCTGCAGCGCCTCTACGGCGGCTACCAGACCGACTGGGTCTGCGGCGGCCAGTGGAACGCCATGGTGGGCTACCTGGCCGCCCTCTCGCAGGCCTGCCTCTACCAGGGCGGCCTGGAGTTGGCTGTCATCTTCAACGGCGGGCTGGGCAAGGAGCGGCTGCCCGAGTGGGGCAGGAAGGCCCAGGCCGAGCGGCAGACGGCGCAGCTCATCGCCGGGCACGTGGGCAACAAGGGCACCCCGCCGCCCCGCGCCTGGTTCCTCCCGCCCGCCTGCCTGGCCCACTGCGTCCGGCTCGCCATGATCCGCTTCCGCGTCAAGGTAAGGAGACAGGCTCGGATCCATTCAGGGCCGGTGCCTCCAAAGGGAGAGAAAGAGAGAACACTAGCTGTAGAACCGTAGAGCAGGAAGAGACCACTTGTCATCTAGTCCAACCCCTAGCCGTGACGGAAAAGCACCATCAAAGCACCCCTGATAGATGGCCATCCAGCCTCATCACACTTTCCTCCATTCAGGATCGGTGCCTTGGATCCCTGGAGAGAGAGAGAGAACACTAGCTATAGAACTGTAGAGCAGGAAGACACCACTTGGGCCATCTAGTCCAACCCCTAGCCGTGATGGAAAAGCACCATCAAAGCACCCCTGACAGATGGCCATCCAGCCTCATCACACTTTTCCCCAGGCTTTTCCCTAGCCRTGASGGAAAAGCACCATCAAAGTACCCCTGACAGATGGCCGTCCAGCCTCATCACACTTTCCTCCATTCAGGATCAGTGCCTTGGATCCCTGGAGAGAGAGAGAAYGCTAGCTATAGAACCGTAGAGCAGGAAGAGATCACTTGTCATCTAGTCCAACCCCTAGCCGTGACGGAAAAGCATCATCAAAGCACCCCTGACAGATGGCCATCCAGCCTCATCACACTTTCCCCCAGGCTTTTCCCTAGCCGTGAGGGAAAAGCACCATCAAAGCACCCCTGACAGATGGCCATCCAGCCTCATCACACTTTCCTCCATTCAGGATCGGTGCCTTGGATCCCTGGAGAGAGAGAGAGAACGCTAGCTATGGAACCGTAGAGCAGGAAGAGACCACATGAGCCATCTAGTCCAACCCCTAGCCGTGACAGAAAAGCACCATCAAAGCATGAAAAGGTGTCATAAGGAAGAGGGAACAGGCTTGTTTTCTGTTGCCCTGGAAACTAGGACTAGGAGCAATGGGTTCAAATTACAAGAAAGGAGATTCCACCTGAACATTAGGAAGAACTTCCTGACCCTACGAGCTGTTCAACAGTGGAACTCTCTGTCTCTGAGTGTGGTGGAAGCTCCTTCCTTGGAAACTTTTAAACAGAGGCTAGATGACCATCTTAGATTCATAGAATAATAGAGCAGGAACAGACCACATGGGCCATGCAGGAAAAGCATAAAGTATCTCTGACAGATGGCCATCCACCATCAGAGATTCTGTCAAAGTATTCTGTCAGGGATACTTTGATTATGCTTTTCCTGCATGGCAGGGGGTTGGACTAGATAGCCTATGTGGTCTCTTCCAACTCTATTATTCTATGAGTCTAAGATCACTGGAAACAAAGCCTTTCATTTTTCTTCTTGCCAGAATATCAGAAAATCAGTTTTAACTACTCTCTTTACTGCCCCTGGTATATACCTAGAAACTGACCCCCACCCCCTCTGCCAGTTGGCATTCTCACACTCAACACTTTCCGTTGTCATAAGTTTGTTTGTTTACAGTATTTATATTCCGCCCTTCTCACGCCGCAGGGCCTCGGGGCGGATTACAGTGTACACATATATAGCAAACATTCAATGCAAAAGACACAGAACAGATATAGACAGACAGGCAGAGGGTTTTTCTGGCCGCCAGGGGGGCTGTCGCTTTCATCGTCCATCTGCAACACTGATGAAGTACTTCCGCATTCCACACATGCTTTGCCGGAGTCTTTTTTTGGCCTCGTAAATTAGTTAAATTAGCCTCCCCACACATAGGTGGTACCTAATTTTCCTACTTGACAGATGCAACTGTCTTTCGGGTTGCAAAGGTCGACAACAAGCTACACAATTGGTTGGAAGCTCACTCTGACCTGGGCGGGCTTTGAACTCATGGCCTTTTTGGTCAGAAGTGATTATTCAGCCAAATGGCCTTTATCTTTGCAACATTCCCAATTATTTCCCATCCCCCCTCTTCTCTCCATCATGGCCTGCCTTCATGTCAGGATGACTCGGGCAGCCCCTTCACAGGCTGCATGGGTCTTCCTAACACATAGCTTCTCTGGATGAGCAGTTTAAAGACCCCTCCCTAAACTACAAACCCCAGAATTCTGGAGGAGGCAGTCACAGCATTTCAAGTGGACTTAAGTGGAAAAATGCTCAAGTGTGATGAGGCAGGAAAAGCCTCCAAAGAAGGAGCTTCCACCACAGTCAGAGGCAGAAGTTCCATTGCTGACCATTGCTTGTTCCATTCACACACAATTACCATGTTTTTCAGGGGGCATTTAAATCATGTTTCTGTTTATGTCTCCTTTGGTACTGCTTTCCAATCTACCACATTATCGGGTATAAACAACTTGTAGCTTAAGAAAAAGAGAAGAGATGGATCAATACTTCAACAGAATACTTCAACTCCTTTCAACAGAAAGGAGGAAACCATGAAACTGAACAAAATCTGGCTACCAGTATTTAAAAAACTCTAAAATTACAACAGCAAAACAACAGAGGGGAAACAATCAGGCACATTTAATCACCTCTCAACAAAAGATTGCCACAGACACTGCCAGGCCATCAAATGCTAATCAAGGTGGTCAGTTGAAACATTCACACCTAGCTCCAACAGGCAAGAGTTCTTTGCCCCGCCCTGGTCATTCCACAGATATATAAACCCACTTTCCTAGTTCTAATAGACCTCACTACCTCTGAGGATGCTTGCCATAGATACAGGCAAAATGTCAGGAAAAAATGCCTCTAGAACATGGCCATATAGCCCGAAAAAACCTACAACAATCCAGATCAATACTTCATTTTTTAGCTTTTTTGGAGGTTCTTTTCTGACTTCCCAGCTTCACCTTGGAAACAAATCTTGAAATGTTGCAAGCCTCAAAAATGTCTGCCGCTGTGTCCATCAAAATGTTTGGATTTTAACCATGATGACCTGTTGACAACCAGAAACAATGCATTTTCTGTCAATTGATAAAAATCTGATTGAGTACCAGATAAAGGCAAAGGCAACCCCTCTCTGAACAAATCTTGCTAAGAAAGCCCATCACCTTAGGGGGGCGTCATGCGTTGGAAATTATTTGATAGCACACAACAATAACAATGTTAATATAAAACTCACAGACTGGTTCACATGGTAAATCCCACTTCCCAGTCCAGGGACTTGATATGGCCATTGGGTTTGGACTGATACGGTTGCAGTTTACCTGGAGTGCACCAGGTTGGGGAAGACTACCTGTTCAGATGAAAACACAGTTGAATATTTATATTCTGTAATGTTGATTGTGGGCAACAGGTATCTATCAAATAGCAAAAGTAACTTGGCTGCAATAATCCAATGGGACATAAGAGAGCCATTTTTTCCCCCTTGTCTCCTCCCCCTTCCTCAATATGGTGTGTAAGAAATATGCTGCCCTGAAGGGAAATGAAGAAGTGGAGAAATGCTTCACAGCACAATGTTGTATATTTCTTAGTGCAGGGTTTGGTTGTGGCAGCTGAAATCCAAATACCCACTCGACCAAGAAAAGTCAGTGATCTGTTCTGAACATGCCACACATTTCATATGATTCTCACAGGGTTAGAAGGCTGGTTAAAATAAGAACTGAATGCACTTCACAGGACTTTTGTGAGCAGTAGTGAATTAATGTGCTTTACTATCCTGAAACGACATTACAGAAATGCTTTACTATGATGTGATCTCGAACATTCCTCCTTGTCTTTCTGCGTGTGGCAGACAGTTCTCTTGCTCCAGGTGGTTTCAGTATTGTGATAAAAGATGGGGAAATGTGCCTTAACTCTTGGTGTGATCTGACAGCTGCATGCATTAATTAATGCTAAACTATTCCAAAATATAGCAAAAGGATTTTGTTAGAATCTTGAGAATTCAAGCTCTGCATCTTTATTCTCGTTTATGCACATGTGCATAAACACATCTCTTCAAATGTGAAGCAAATGAAATCAAATCCAAAGCCATTGTATATTCAGCCGTCATGATGTCTAAGTCATGGTTATACAGTCTTTCCAAGGGTTAATCCTTTTTTTCACATTTAAGCATAATGCTTTGTGAGTCTCCGTGCTGTACAATAATTCCAGCATGTCTCTTTTCAATGTATCTCTTCACCCTCATAACAACAAAGTTGAATCCTATCACTTGTATGTGAAAGATATTAAATTAGCCATAGCCCTGCCTGAATATCAAGCAAAAGGTGGGTGCTAGAAACAATATCATACGAAAGCTGACTGGCACAACCTGGGGATCACAACCAGACACAGTGAAGACATCTGCCCTTGCGCTATGCTACTCTGCTGCTGAGTATGCATGCCCAGGGTGGAACACATCTCACCACGCTAAAACAGTGGATGTGGCTCTTAATGAGACATGCCGCATTATCACGGGGTGTCTGCACCCTACACCACTGGAGAAATTACACTGATTAGCCGGTATTGCACCACCTGACATCCGCCGTGAAGTAGCTGCAAATAGTGAAAGGACCAAGGCAGAGACATCTCCAGTTCATCCCGTTTGGGTATCAGCCAGCACGTCAAAGAGTTAAATCAAGAAATAGTTTTCTAAGATCTACAGAGACACTTGCTGGAACACCCCAGCAAGCGAGAGACCAAAAGTGGCAGGCTCAAACCCAGAACCTCAATCAATGGCTAATACCAAATGAGATACTCCCCCCCCCCCCCGGGCACCACAAAACTGGGCGATTTGGAAGGTGCTGAACAGACTGCAATCTGGCACCACAAGATGCAGAGCCAACCTTAAGAAATGGGGCTACAAAGTGGAATCCATGACCTGCAAGTGTGGAGAAGAGCAAACCATTGACCACCTGCTGCAATGCAACCTGAGCCCTGCCACATGCACAATGCAGGGTCTTCTTGCAGCAACACCAGAGGCACTCCAAGTGGCCAGCTACTGGTCAGAGGACATTTAATCAACTACCAAGCTTGCAAACTTGGTGTTTTGTGTTTTGTCTGTCTGTCTGTTTTGTTAAAAATGTAATACAACTGTCTGGTTGCTCCTGACACGATAAATAAATAAAGCCATAGCCCTTAGGGATACACATGGTGCCTATTTCCTATAGTACTTCATGCCTG